GCTCAATAAAGACACTTGCGCTAACGACAAGCAAACGAACAATGGACGCGAACACAACTTAAAATGGTAGTTAAATGTTTTGTTTATCGAATTATACAGGTTTAAGACATTGTTGCCAAACTTGGCCGAAATGAACTTTACATCATGGCGGATCGATTTAAACGATCTGAGGAAAAACTGCGGCCCATAGCTAATTATTATGTATTTATATAATTAATATACGCCTACTTTTCCTTCCTTGCAGGTGAAAATAACGCAATTCTTATTATTTTGCTAAGGTACCCCAGTTAAAAAAAGTTTCTACGTGCGATAAAAGTCCAGATATGGCAAATTTTTCCAGCGCGCTTCAATTTGAAATTCCAATCTAAAAAAACGAATCTATACTTACAGTTCTACTCTCCACTTTTCCGTGGCGGTATTTTACGAGTACCGCCATTTTAACCGATTTCAACTTTTTACTTCTTCACTGTATATGCTATATATAAGTTCGATCACAAAATTATAGATCTTAAATTAGAATTCTTTCAACTTTCAGCTGTTAATATTAATAAACAATGGACGTATAATTTTAAGAATAAAACGCTATGATTTTAAGAATAAAACGCTATGATTTTAAGAATAAAATACTTTCTTCGTTCCTTTTGTCAATAGAAGCTTCTAATTTATTTTGGAAAGTGTGTTTTTTACAAGCTTTTAATTGAACCTACAAGCGTGTAGCATAAACAACATTAAAGTTATTATAAATGTTTATAAGCTAAAACGTCAGCTCTTTTTTAAAATGTTTTTTAATAAAAAAAATAAAAGAAGTTGGGATTTTACGTGATTTTTTCCGTTTGTTACATCAGACTGGTCTACCCCAGTCAAGAAAAAAAAAGATGACAAAACCTCTACCAGTATTCAAAGATTCTAAAACGTATATGAGTGATAGCTGATGACACTTATGTAAAGACGTCCTGCTAATTTTGCTTCGTTTTTTAATTAAATAATCGTAAAAAGTGAAAAAAGTAGCTCTTGCGTAAAAAACATTTCTTATACAAAATGAGAAAAGGCAGCAAATATTTGATTTACGCAAACAAATCTTATGTATCTCTTGATACGTATTTCGACCTAATAGGTCTCGTCAGAAGAGCTATTCATAAGGTTTCTCAACGTGAAAAATCAATATTTTCTGCCTTTTAAGAAGCAACAATAACATGGCTTCGATACGGACGCAGTAGCGACATCTAATTAAACAATCGTAAAATAGTTTTCGAAAACTATTTTACGATTGATTTCTTATACATTTTAGAGAAAATGGTTCAAATAAAAGTTATACTGGGAGTTTCGAAAATTAAAATACATAAAACGTTAACTGAGATAATTTAAAAAAAACCCCTATTTTGCAGTAATTTATAAATGTTAATAACTTGGATTTTTAAAAATAATGACATGTAATATAACTATTGAAAATATTGTGGTAGTTAAGGAGTTATTAAAGTGTGCCAAATTTCAACAGGATCGACTAAACAGCTTATAAGTTATTTAATTTGTCGCTCACAGAAAGCGATTATTTAAACAACTGTACAGGGTGTCCCAAATTGGTATGTTTTGCAATCATCATCATCAATCAGCCAATCGCGTCCACTGCTGGACATAGGCCTCCCTCAATTCTTTCCAGTGTTCTCTACACTGGGCCGCTTGTAGCCAGTTTCCCGCTACACGTTTAATGTCATCGGTCCATCTAGTCGGTGGTCGTCCTCGGCTTCTTTTATAATTTCTGGGCCTCCATTCCTAATACGTCTTGTGTTCTGGCTAAGTGCCCTGCCCAGTTCCACTTAAGCGTCGTGGTTCTTTCGATGACGTCTTGAACTCCTGATCTTCGTCTGATTTGTTGGTTTGTTATGTGGTCTCGAAGGCTCACGTTCAGCATTGCACGTTCCATGGCTCGTTGTGTAACTCTAAGTTTATTCGCAGATTTTTGCGTGAGTGTTAAAGTCTCTGCTCCATAAGTTTGTATAGGTAAAACACATTGGTTATAAACCTTTCGCTTGAGACACATGGGAATTGAACTTTTTAGAATATGGCTTAATTTGCCAAATGCTGCCCATGTTAGACCTATTCGCCTCTGTATTTCATGTGTTTGATTGTCTCTGCTTATTTTGATTTCGTGTCCCAGATATTTGTAAGTGTCTGTTTGTTGTATGGTATTATTGTCAATAGTTATATTTCCACTCATTACGAGATTTGTTATAATTTTAGTTTTCTCAAAGTTTATCTTTAATTCTGCTCTTTCAGACAGACTTTTAAGCGAATGCATCATAGTAACTGTATCATGTAAGTTATCTGCGATTAATACAACATCATCTGCAAACCTTAGGTGATTTAATCTTTCTCCATCTATATTGATGCCCATATCTTGCCATCGAGTACCCTTAAATATTGACTCTAGAGCTGCCGTGAACAATTTTGGTGAAATATTGTCTCCTTGTCTAACTCCTCGACCTAAGCTGAATTTTTCTGTGTCTTCGTGCAGTCGTATACTTGATGTAGCGTTCTGATAGATGTTTTTGATTAGTGTCGTGTACCTGTAATCTATTCGGCTTTGATTTAGGGCTTCCAGTATTGTTTCAAACTCTACAGAATCAAAAGCCTTCTCGTAATCGACAAATGCAAGAACCAGTGGTATGTTGTACTCGATGCACTTTTCTATTAAGATCTTTATGGTATGCAAATGGTCATTTGTGCCATATCCTGCCCTGAAGCCTGCCTTTTGCAAGGTATGCCGAAAACTAGAGGAAATAGAAAAATTTTTGTTAAAGTAACGTTTGCCCAATCAAATCATCAGTAGCTCGCTATATTGTCGAGATACAGGGCAATTATTTAAAAAATGTCGAAAACAACAGGGTTAGATATCTTCTTTATTAAAACAATTTTTAAAATCTTCATTGCAACTTTTGATAGATCTATTATGGAAGAGTTCAGTGGCGTACGTGAATTTTTTTTAGGTAGTTTACTCGTGAAATATTGGGATAGCATATTTCTAATATGTTATCCCAATAATGTGGAGACTGGTAACTCTCCCTTAGCCAGCTGTACATCCTTTTTGAAACTATTATTAGTTTTCGAGTATTTCTCTGTCCCTTAATTTTCTATTTTCATCGATACTTTCTCTTCTGCTCCTCCTCCTCCTCCTCTTGGAGTGGAGTGAAGTGCCTTCTCTATTGAGGTTGGCGATCAATATGACAAATTTCTCTCTGTTCTGGGCTTGATGGATTAAGTCATTTCCTGTTGTGTGAGTCCAATCTCTGATGTTTCGGAGCCAGGATTTCTTCTTTCTTCCTATACCCCTTTTACCCCCGATTTTGCCTTCTAATATTACCTGGAGCTGCTCAAATTCCTTATAGCGCAATATGTGTCCTGGATATGACGTCTTTCTAATTTTGATTGTATTAACCAGATGAGGTCGTGTGTTCATTATTTCCAGTACCTCTTCATTTGTAGTTTTGCTGGTCCAGCTTATACTTAGTATTCGGCGGTACATCCACATTTCGAATGAATTCAGTTTGTTGACGTCATACTGTTTTAATGTCCAGGTCTTACAGCCATATAGTAGTAGAGACCGCACATAACACTTTAGTGTTCTTAACCTTATTATAATTGTTAGCTTGGGGTTACAGAGCATTTTACGCATGTTCATGAAGCCAGATCTTGCTATTTCAATACGTCTTCTAATTTCTTTTGAGTGGTCTAGCTGACTGTTTAGCTCTCTGCCCAGGTACATGAAGCTTTGGGAGCTCTGAAGGGTGATACCATTGATTTGTATGTTGGGTGTAATCCAAACCTAGTCTGTGACTTTCTTCTGATAGTATGTTCATCAATATTTTTAGTTGGTCTTCTGTTTCTGCTAATACTAGGGTGTCATCGGCATATCTTACATTGTTAATGATAATTTCTGCTCCTACGACCATGATATTAGTTATTAGAGTAAATATGAAAGGGGTGAAGCCGGATGTCCCTAGAAATCTATTTGTGACAGTTCTTTTTATACACGTAGTTGTCATGATGATTTAGGCATGGTACAATAATTAATGGATTTGACCGTTACTTGATGAAAATTCATTTTATGTAACAATAAAACACTGAAAACTTTCTTTTTAAAACTTCCACAGAATCTATTATAAACTGTTATCACTACAGCTGTTTCGGCTGAGTGCCTTTCTCAAGTGATCTATTTTTGTAGTAAAGTATAAACGCATGCCAAAAATAGATCACTTAAGAAAGGCAATTAGCCGAAACAACGGTAGTGATAAGAGTTTATAATAAATTTTGTGGAAGTTTTGAAAACAAAGTTTTCAGTATTTTATTGTTACATGGTTCGATAAACCTACATTACTTTGCTTTTTGCAGCTCTCTTGGTCCACTGGAAGTAGTTTTTCTGATTCAAAACCAATCACCAAGTCAAAGTAGAACAACTTAATAAAGAAATTCTTAGTATCTTGAATAACGGCAGGCACCGCCTTCTTATTATTGGTCTGAAGCTATTTTTGTGGCATTTTAATTTAATATAATATCTTTATTTGAAATTAACCACAATTAGACTAAAATTTATTTATTTTGAGGTTTCTCTTTTCACTTCGAAGGCGAAATTTAAGATTTTAAGTTCATCTCTAAGCTACTTTAACCTTTGTTTAAATTTTATTTCTAAACATCTTTTCTCTCCTAGAATATTTACTTCACTACATGACTGAAACAATTAAAATAAACTGGATTTTTTTGTTTCCCCAGCAATAGATTAGGGCTATAAACACCTAATACCATTTAAAATTTCGTGTTTCTACATAAGGTTGCAAATAATATATATCATACCTTACGTATGTATTTTGTTTAGTTCAATGCAGAATAATATAGATTCTTTATTTTTTCTGTCTGATTTTTTATATAAAACATTTTAAGCAAAAAATTTGTTTTACAACTATTAAAACAACTATTATAAAATCTGTTACTTAACTATATTTTTGTAGGTTATATCAAATTCCCAAAATGGTCGTCCGTCATCATCAGCTGCCAGCGTTTCTAGTAGAATATCAAACTCCTCCCACATTAAAGATGATAAAGGATTCTTCTTCGGAGAAGAAACGTTGGACAGCAAATGGAGGCATCCAGATATAGAAACAACATCAGTTTCAAGCTTAGAAGATTGGCTACAAACTGATTCCAGTTTTGGATCACGAAAATACGTCGACAGAGTTACTCTTACGGTAAGGCAAAAAAATTGTTGGATAAATATTTTAACTCTAAATTCAAAAATATCTTGTTTTACGCACATAATAAAGAAGTCAGTTTGCGTTTGATAGTGGTAGTGTAACGCTTTAAACTATTTAAAAGGCGAACTCCAGATGATATGGTTAAAATAAAATCTGTACCTCTAAAATAACAAGAAAAAATTCCTCTCCTTCCTTTAGATTTATCGTCTGTTTATTTTTCGTAACATGTTTCAATAAAATTCTCAGCTATTTCTCCATATTTTAGGTAGTGTTCCTAATGATTAACGAAAAGTAGGTTTGTTTTAAATACTATCAAACGCTATTGCGTTTGGTCTTAAACACAAGAGCAACCAATCAACAAATCTTTCTACAGTGTCTTTCGAGGAATTGCTAACTCGGAATGGACCTTCCGGCTGTTGTCCTACATCCACCTCGATATTGAGTAGGTAATTCGTACGTGCGTCAACTAATGCATGTACATTGATTCCATATTTCGATAGGTTGTTTGGTATATATTGCCTGAAAGCACATATCCCTCTGAACGATTCAAGCTTTTCGTGAATTGTCATTTGATTTGAAATTTTCCAAATCTATCGAAGAAAGCTCTGATATGAGCTAGTTTATAACTTGACTCTTTACGGTTTTGTTTGTTATGAAATCTTAGACATATAATTAAAAATTCGAATCGACGTTGGTTCATTGTGCAATTGAAATCGTCAATTCACCAGACAGGTAAAGGAGCACCAACACAACTTTGATTTATATCACAGATGTATTCCCATAATGTGTAGAGTTCTTCGAACTTTCAGATTTTTCTGCATTTCGTTGATTAGTATGATTAACCAAGTCAGCAATCATTTGTCCATCAATAAATAGCAGTAAGCCCTCAACTGGTGTCTTGGCATGCTTAGCGTGATTTTTAACTACCGGTAAATGTGTAATTAAGTTGTCTGCTCTTATTCAAATATTTAGATTATTGGGTTCTTTACTCCATTTCATTCCATTATTTCCGTAATAATAACAACCTTGTCTGATACTTTCTACAACAGCTTGCTGAGTTCCACTCTCTTCTTGGGGTTCTTGTTCCACATCGGAATAATCGCTGTTGATACTTAGATTGTCAATATTGTCTTCTGTCTCTGAATCATCTTAATCAATAAATTCGTCTTCATTTTCACACTCTTTCCATATATGCATGAGATGAGCATGCTCTTTTTCATAGTCGCCCATTATTTCCAAATCTACGAGAGTGAAATTATGAATTACACAATATAAATAGTATGTATAAGATGGCTTACATCTGAAAATTATGTCGATGTCAGAAATAAAAACGGAAAAAATAAACTTGCGAGTTCCGACCAGTGGGATGTGGCAAACCCATCGAGCAAAAAGACAAAAGAGGGAATTTAAATCCTTATGAAAAGGAGACCAAAAAAGTGGCCTCTGGTGGCGGACATATCCGGAAATGCGAATGCACCAAATTTAAATTTTCCTCAAAATGTATCTTAGACGAGAAAGTTTAAATTAATTGTTAACGATAAGAGTCTAAAATGCGACACAATTGTTAAAAAACTTCAATATAAATAAGATTTCATATGACATTTGGGACAAACAATAACATAACCCAACTAAATTTGATGTCAAACAAGGAGAGAGACTCTCTTTTCTTGTATAATGTGGCCTCTAAAGATCGCACTTCCTGTCTAACAATATTTTTGCCCCCACTACCTTTACATTCCCTCTTTTGTCTTTTTGCTCGATGGGCAAACCCCAGACAACTTGAAAGCGACACCACTCATGGTATATCTAGTTGCCGACTGACCTGACTGCAATGACAGAATGACAATCATATTGTAGACAAATATGTATTTGAAAGCTACTGAAGCGCTGTTGGCATTTGAAGTGAAATTTGAACTGATAATAATTACTCTCTGAACTCAATTGTTTCGCACAACCCACGTGTCGAATGCTGGGTTAATCCTATTTTTTTTTAATGTTGTATTTAGCTCTAACAGTACTTCCTGCAATTCCTGCAATACTATAAATATATTCAAAATTATAAATACTATAAAAATTCTTTGGAAAAATCTAATTTGACTGCACAAGACACTTAATACAATTTAATTTTTAACTTACCATAAAAGATACGATTAAAATTATAGTTCAAAAGGTTCGTCTTATGTCTCTTAATTGCTATTTTCCAGAGAATTCACTGTATCATTTCTGAATATCATCTTCCTAAAAAGGTATTAATAATTCATTTACAATTAAATCTAGTGCTGGTTCGCGATATTTTTCACTACTCTTGAAAAAATTTTGAGAAAAATTCATCACAATATTTTTCAATATTTTAAAATTTAAAATCCACATTTTTATTTGTCACATAATGTCTTAGATCAGCTCACACTAATTCAATTGGATTTAAGTCCGGGTGGTAGGATGGTAGTCTTACGATAGAATGAAATGCATCATTGGTAATATAATTTATATCGTAAGATTGTAGGTTTATGAATTTTTATTAGGCTATATAATTCTGCTTTAATCCTCTTTTTTAAAACAGAATGTTACGCTATTTTAAACATTCCTTCATTTTATCTTTTTTATACCACATCGTGGGACATTTTTGAACTTTAATATTGTGATATGATTCATTATCTATATTCAATACACTATGGGCTGGTATGTTGGGAACAAGTTTTTCGTAAATCCATTCCGCCGCCGACATAAACAATAACCAGTATCTGCCCTATTGGACACTGGCTCGTGCAAAACGTCGGTGGTATTGTCTCCCCAGTATTTGTCATGGGTGTGAGAGAAATGAATATTCCTCCGTAGCACCTATTAACACTCTATCGCTTTTTTTCTATTAGAATTTTCCTGTTCCTGTTTCTTTGCTTTCTTTCATCGAAATCTCACATCCCTCATCATTTTTCTCAAAGTTTCGTGTCACCGCGTATAAATATTGTCTTCATTAATTTTTGTTGTGTCGCAAGGAACTTGTTTTTCCATGACATAAAAATTGAATATTATACGACGAAGTAAATCTTGTGTCAAAATTGGTCCAGGATGATTTTTTTGGCAGATTTTATAGGGCTTAAACTTACTCTCATTGCTAAGGCATTACACTTCGGAACTGTCTTAAAATCTTTAGTAGGTTAATTTTATATCGCTTCTCGCTGCATAAAAACAACACATTTGTTATAAATAAAAATTAATTTTAATTTTTTTTTTTTTTCAGATAAAACAAGATATCGAGGAAGTATCTCACGCCAGCGATTCAGATCCCGAAGGCAACGAAGAGGATGACAATGAGTACTTCCGTACCAAATCGTCATTTTGGAGCGATGATGAACCCAATTGGTTTTTACAGAAGCGAACTTTTCAAGGAACGCATTCACCGGTACCGGTACCAATGTTGGTGCCGAATCCAACAATAGAAGCAAAGGTAATCATTTAATTGTTTTTGATGATGCAATTTGAAAACTGTCATATCTTTATTCCTAGAAATAGTATAAAAGATACATCTTCAAAGAACGACAGCAAAGCTGAAAACGAGAAATAATATAGTCCAAAAGCTATGTGGCACTACATCCACTACAGTCTTCAGCCTCCGTACTCAGATCATCTGCTCTCGGACTTGTATACTCGGTGGCTGAATATGCTTCCCCGGTATGGCTCAATAGCAAACACACAAAGATTATTGACACTCAATTAAACCAGACAATGCGAATGATCTCAGGTACAATTAGACCCACACCGAACTATTGGCTTCCCATTCTGAGTCACATTCCACCGCCGAAACTGCGAAGAAGTCATTTTCTTCTCAGAGAATATCGAAAAATTGAGGCTAACCATCAACTACCTATACACCAAGATAAGCTTGATATCGAAATAAACAGACTGCGCTCTAGATATCCTCCATTGCTAAGAGCCAACTCCTTACATCAGGAACATTTCAACCTGACCAAAGCTTGGAGAACACAATGGGAGAGCGACTCACCACAGGAAGCACATCAAATGGCCTGTATCGATCAGAAACCGCCAGGCTTTGAACTGACCCGCAACCAGCGGTAGATGTGCTGACAGCTTATATAGATGGGGAAAAGCCCTTACTCCTGAGTGTGACTGTGGTGCGCAACGACAGACCGTCCGTCACATTGTTGAAGAATGTCCCCGAAGGCGATTCCGTGGAGTTTTCGATGAGTTCCTGAATGCGACCGAAAATGTTTTACATTATATTAATAATACATTAGATGTTCGTTTGTAATACTTCATGTAACGTTTTATATTGATTTTTTAATTGTGTGTTCTTATTGTATGCCATACTATAAATAAATAAATAAGTATAAAAGATCAGAAAGACAGGTTAGTTTTAACGTATAAAATCCGGTTAGAGAGTACGTCTCAGGACCAGTAACCTTCTTTGAGAGCTACCATGAATTGAATCGACTTAAAACGTTAATATCCTATATAATTCTCAGCTGTGTACGATAGTTGCTGGCAGATGGTGCGCAGGGGCTCCAAAGAATGATGGAAAACGTAGAAACATGTAACAAATACGGCCTAAAACTAAATTTCGAGAAGACAAAAATAATGATTATTAGTAAGAACGCCATCATAAACGCATAAGTTACAATAAGCGATACACGGTTAAAAAGAGTGGACAAAATATACTATTTGGAATACAATATTAAGGATACTTGCGATCACAGCTACGAAATAAAAACTCGTATTGAAAAAGCCAGAAGCTCTTTCAACATCCTTAGGAAGCTTTTCGGCAACTTATCTTTAAGTATCAATATACGCATAAAAATTCTTAGATGTTACGTCTCTAAGGCCTCTATGGAGTAGAAAGCTGGAGCCTTACAGAAGATAAAACCATAAAATGATTGGAGGCATTTGAAATGTAATGCTACCGACGTATGTTGAGGGTCTCATATATACACCACACAAATAACATATGTTGAGGATTGCATTTTAAGTAACATGCTAGACGCATGCTACTTGCTACTTGCCACGTGCCACGTCAGATTGGTGGGCGCTCTCACAATTGTTGATAATGGCTGGAAAGCCATTTGCTAATATTTAGCCTGTTTAAAAATTAATTATATGTCCTGTAGTCGGTCCACGAAATTCGTAACATTTTTTTCCAACAGCACGTTTTAGTGGCATCTATCTTTCTTCTTTTTGTTTATCCTGGGGTCTAAAATCCACTTTCGCATGTCACTATTTAGTATATTAAGTAGCTGATCAACCTAGTTTTTAGAAATCGTGAAATTTGAGAGTCTTTCCATATTTTGGCCAACTTTGCTACGGCAACTGTTGGTAGATCACATATACGTTTTATTTCTCGTAATATGCTTCCCATATATATTAAATAATTGTGGACAAATTATACATCCTCGTCTGACACCATGTTCTGAAAGGAATATATTATTTGAGAGTATTTCACGCACATTTTTTAGGTCGTAAAATTCTTTATAGTGTTGCTAACTTTTGCGTTAAAATCACCGCATAATAAGGTTAGCTTTTTATTTGAAATGTTGGCGATTGTTGTTTCCAATTTTTCGTAGAATTCCTCGATATTTTTGTGCTCTGCTGTACTGGTTGGCGCATAAACTTGTACGTTATTAAGTTTATGGAGTCTGTCTTTCAGTATAAGAAGAACTACAGAACGACAAATTTTTATAATCTTGATAAGACCAGAATGGCAACACTATTACAGCAGTATTAAACCAAGAATATTGGTTCTAAAATTAAATTTATAAAAAACTCATTTTTTATTTTAGGTACTAATAGGTGATAAAGAAGTAGACGATACATCAGATTTATCAGACGTAGAATCAGAATACGGAGACACAGAAATTGTCCCAGCACGGCACAGCATACTTGTAAATTCCAAAACACTAATAGGAGGAAAAAACCCATTACAAAATGGAGTGGGAGATATGGAATCTGAGAGTGAATCTTCTGCTGATTCAGGTGTAAAAGAAGTCGATAGAGGCCAGTCTGTATTCGATGAATCCGAATTTACGGATAGAGCCGAAGGGGGCAGTCAAAATGAAGATGAACATCACACATCTTTTGTATCTAAAGCAGATATTACAATAGATGATGATAGTAAGTATCGGTTATTTAATATTATTATTATCTTAGGTTTTTAGTTAACGATTTTCTTCTTTTTTCTTACTTGTATAAGTATATATAATTATATGTAACAGCTGTACTCTATCACTTTCGGAAAAGACACTAATTTTTTGATTGATTTATTTGGTTTTAATGATGTTTGTGTTTTCTTTTATATGATGTATTTCATTTTATATCGTCTTTTACCCCTTCCTTATTAGCATAGGCTTAAAATACAGCTTATAGTTAAAGATTATACTGGTCAGTTTACACTTGAACTTTCAAAATGAAAATTCAAATACTTCACCAATGAACCTTAATATAATTATCGTTAGAAAGACAAAAGATGCGTAAAAGAATACAAGAAAGAAGACAATAAGAAAGAACGAAAGAAGAAACCCAAGGATTTGTTGTATAATAAGAGCACCTAAGGATATGCTTCTTTCTAAGGACGGAGGAGCTGCGACACTGGATTATTTAATGTGTGACGATTAAGAGCTTTCTGTTTGTGTAGTTGTCTTCTGCTTTGAATATCTTAATTGTAGCAGCCAGATATAAATAAACAAATTTTAAATTAAAATTATGGTTAATTAGCAGTATTAATAGTACCACAAGAAAATAGCTTTAGGGCAATACGTATGTTTTACTAATGTAGGTTTTTATTATGTCTCTAATTATATCACTAATATGTTCTCATTTACTTTAGATGTAGAGGATGCATCACTAATGTCAGTATACAGCAACACAGAACAGGAAGCAGAATACACAGAGAGGTACGCATCATTGCCAAGAAAAATAGAAAAGAGACCAGATCCTCACCCTAGGTAAATATATCCTTTTAAATGTTTCTATTAATTTTAGTGGTTATTTATCCGACACTAAATATAGAATAGTAGCACATTTATGGAACATATAAAGACACCCTAGTACCAATAAATAGAAAACTGGTTAAGAAATAATCCTGGAAGAAGAATTTCTTCCAGGTTTGTTTGAAAAAGCATATTCATGGACAGCTTAAATGGAATTTTTTTTGCATGGTTTTCTAAAACGTGGCATTATGCCATTTGCTAGACTTGACAAGACCTAGATTTTGCAACCATGATAAGGTAGAAACTTCCCTTGTTGATGACAATAGTAACAAATAAATCTTCAAATAGTATTGAGAATCCAAAATAAATCATCATTCTACAAGACGTTTCTGTAGAAGCTGGTGGAATAACTACGGTTAATAAAATAAGGAACTTTGTAAAACCGACTGATCTAAATCCTTTGCCTGTTTTACGTTGTCCATCAGGGATTAAACAAAAGAACTCTGGTGCAGCTGCTTTAATTACTGGATCGCCTTACAAAAAGCTGTTAAAGAAGCACAGTCGCCTAAAACTACAAGTGAAATTAGGAAAGTGGTAAACTTTGTATCTGTTTTATTAAGAGAGTTAAAGAAAACGAACGAAAACATAAACGCAGGTATTATTTACGCAAAGAACGCAGGCAACAAATTAAATCTGAGAGTGTCTGAGCTCTTATGCTGACGAAAACTCTGATGTATATATATATATATATTATATATATATATATATATATATATATATATATATTTATATATATATATATATATATATTTTATATATATATATATATATATATATATATATATATATATATATATATATATATATGAGAAAAAAATTTAGTTCTTAGACATTTTTGATAAGTTTGTCGATATCAATTCAGCTGCTGTAAGAAATTTAATGATAAGTCCAAGTTTTTATCAAATCATTGGATTTGATACACTTAAAAATGTTAAAAAATGTCCACTAGTCAGTATTTTAAACTCGTTGAACTCACAATTAGCAACATCTGCAACACCGGATGAAATAAAATTCAACGTAATAGTGCAATACAATACCATTTGATGTTATAAAGGAAATGACCTCTTAAGTTCCTTTAAAAGTATAAAATTCACCATGGAGATTGAAATAATCAATTTAAAAAGTGTTATCTTATTTTGCGGATAAAAACATGATTTCCCATTATTTTAAACTTAATGATATTTGTATATGCCCATTAACTCTATAGTATTATATTTAAATATCCTTTACCATTTTTTGCGTAAATAATCATGTAAGATCCAGAAGTAAACAAAGTTAACAAATCTTGTTTTATTTCTAGGTCTTCAGAGAAAATTAAATCCGATTACACGAATTACGAAACACCACATAAAGTGGAAGATTATGATAAGGAAGCTGAAGAAGTGAGACGAGTACAAAAGCATTTTTCAGGTAAATATAAGCGTTATAAATCAGTCCTATAAAGCAGTTTTATTTTATATAATCAGATCTGCGAAAAAACTAAACAGTAAATTTTCTATTTTAAGTGTGCTTTCGATATGGAAGTTAAAACGGCACATAAATAAATTATTTTGTATTTCGTTGACAAAATATTTGACAGAGCAATTATCTCTCCGCTACAAATAGGTATACTGTTTTTTATTTATAAGTGTGATTAATTATAATGCATTAGTTTTTACTTATTAAATATGAACAGGTTAAAAAAATTAAAGGCTAAAATAATCGAAAAATTACATAAATTACGTTAAAATAAAAGAAACGAAAACGTTCTATGGCGTTTGCTACGTCCAGCCTTTTAGTCTATTCCTCTCTATCTCTCCAATTATATTCTTCTAAGTCGTCCTCTTCTGTATAACAAGTTCAACATCTTTCTTTCACGAAATGCCATCTCCCATCGCTTTTATCCAAACCGCTGTAGTTATTATGAATTGAGTTATCTTTTTTATTGTTTCTTTGAGATTGGCAGGCAGCTTTTTATTATAGCCATTACATAACAAAACCAATGAAGTTGTCATTTTGGATTCTCCAATTTATTGTTTCGTCAAAGTTAAACGCAGCTTTTTTTCACATTTAATTTGATCTGTATCTTTGTTAACAAAGAGGCTGTGTAGGCCCTTTTGGTAGTCGTTTTGTTGGTTTTTTTCTTCCTTGGTATATACGGTATAATGTCCTCTCCTTTAATTTTCTATGACGCGTGCTAGGATTCGAGCAGTTGTTTATTTTATGCCCAGCCAGAGGCCTTCTTAAAGCCCAATTTGTATCAATAGTGTCCTATGAGATCTCGTATGTAACTAGACGTTTATTATTAATGAAGATACTGCATAGTGCCTGTTTGATATCTTATTTGTTTTTGTTATATTAATATATTCTTTATATTCTGCCCTTTTATTAAACATATAAACAATATATTAACATATTAACAATAACAACGGAGATGTGATGTAATGCCCTATTGCCAATGCTGCTATGTATGTATTTACTATCTCAACATATTCGCTATCTCGTCTCATTTCTAATATTCTATCATACGTCACGATCTGAGTAGTATTTTTAACACAACTCAATTTTTTTTGCTGTTAACAAGAAACCTTCTGGCATGCAAAAATGTTTTCTACTTATGTTATTAATCTTCCGACGGCCAGGAATAGAAACCCCTTTACTATACTTTCAAAAACTCACCAAACATACTATGTAATTCCAAACATTTGCAAGAACCCTAATCGTTTTCTTTGCATCTTTGAAACAAAACCATTTTCTATTCATACCTAATTTCTATTAATATCTTAAACCTATTATATATTACAATTTAAACTTTGTTTACTAAATTTGTTTACATTCAAATTTTCACCGTAAAGTTCCTTTTAATATTTACTAATATGACTTTCAACATCTTCTTTGATGCCTTTTTAGGCCTCCCGAGGTCTCAGTCTCTCGAGCCCCCAGACACTACTATACTAATCACTAATAAATGCATTGCTGCTACCGGCATACGTTTATCTTTAACATGTAGACCTCTCATAAAGAAAATATCATTCAGCTAAGTAAACTTTTTACCATCGGGTTTTTTACCAACCGGAAAACCGGTTTTTTACTTCGCAATACCCGGTTTTATCGGTTTTTTTTTGTCCCAGTAACAACCGGTTTTTTATTTTTAAAGTAAAAACCGGTTATTCGATTTTTAAGGTGATTAGGATTAGGTTAGGGATTATTTTGGATCCAAATCTTAATTATTATTCTCAAGTAATTATTTCAAACAAAACCATAATTCAAATTTTATTTTATTTTATAAATACAGAAGCAAACTAAAGTAAATGTAACTTTGTAACTTATTGGATTAAAAAAAACAAACACCGGTTTTTATTTGGCCGGTTATAAACGCCAGGTTACCGTAAGCAAAAAAAAACCGGTATAACCGAAAACCCTTTTTTTGTCAAAAACCGCCATCCCTATTGCCAACTCAACCTAATAAAAACTTTTTACGCAAACTATATTTAAATGTATGCTGATATTTTGCTTGTTTTAGGTAGTTATAGTACAAGAGAGAAAGAAAAATGGAAAAATGCTGTAGAAATGAAAAATAATCCTTATTCTAAAGAAAATATAGAAAAAAGGATAAAACGATCGAGTAGTGGAGTAGACTCTATGTAAGTATATATTTTTTCTATTTTTTAATCTCCTCCTCCTTTGTGATTCTGTGACAGATGAACGGGAACCAGAGTCTTTATTTGGTCTGTTTATCATATTGGAGATCTTCCTCTCGTTCTTCTACCTTTTCTTATAATACCAATAGTTTAATGGTCACCGTTGTTCTGTCTATATGTCGAAATAATTTAGGTATGCCCTATTAATTTTTTTTTTATAGCCTGTCTTTTATGTGCGTAGAATTCCTCTATAGACCTAAATTTTGAGTTCATGTTTCAGCTGCGTATGTAGCAATAAGAAAAAATAAGGGTATTAGCCAATCTAAGGTTAGTATTTCTTGTGATTGTTTGGTCTTTCTATATTTCAATTAATTTACCTATTTTTAAGTTAGGGCCGTTGTAAGTTTATGCTTCATTTCTGAGTAACTATCGCCATTGCTGATTATCAGGTAGCTAAAGTATACAAATATAGTATGGTAACTACTTATATGGAATAAAATTATTTAAACTTACTACATAACTTCACAAAATCGGCAGTTCTATTGACGCTAAATTACAGCAAAGTGCTCTGATATCTCTAAAGTAGAAGGCAAAAGAAGTAGAGGTAGATCTCCTACACGATACACGGACCATATTGTTGCTACCATTGGCGCTCCATTGTCAGAATGTGCTAGATTGGCAGAAGATAGAAAAACGTGGAGGAACATTGGAAAAATTACCTAACAGCTTCATGATATCACGATACCTGCATCAGGTTAACGACTAAGAAGAAGAAGAAGAAGCTCTGATATCATCAAGTAACGTACAAGGTGTGCACTAAATTACCTGATATATAGCAATTTTACCTAAATTTTCAAAATATTCCTACATAATAATAAAACAAACGGAAATAATCTGAGGGATGACTCCAGTGGCAAACTATGTATCTATCCCACATACTCAGCCAGAAAAACATCTTTCTGGACTATAAAAAACCAAGATTAATAAAGAGGCAAAAATACCCACCCGCTCCTCCTTAGAAAAAATAACAAGGGATTTGTACGAGCAGACTAGGTTATATAGCAATGTGGGGCACATAATTATAATATCCTGATACTTAACTAGATCAGACTCATGCAGACATGTTCATCAACAAACTTGACAAGCAGTTGATGAGGGATCAGAATCAACGTTTGCTCGTAAAACACCGTTTAGCTCAGGGACCCTGTTGTAAACTGTGCTAACGATAATACAAAAAAATGGATGACTTAGAAGATAAGGACTATGAAGAGCCTGTGAGAGAAAGTAGACTTAAATATAGTTGATCCCAATAATATGACCAAGCACCCCATGGTCCTCAATTGCGTTCTCGAGAAAGAAGCTAATAAAGCAATCAGGACCGTCTAAGGAAACAAAATGAAGACATTAAGACGGAAGACTTGTTGTCGAGATTGAAGAAGTTGTTTAATATCAGAAAATCAGGGAGTATGCGTAAACCCTAGTCTACACGATAGATAAGGTCTCCTAAAAACAATGATATAAATAAAGCTTATAAATAGCCGATCTGCCCCAAGTTCCGAAGACTTGCATAATAGTCAAAAGACATATCAAAACACTGCTGTTAATGAATATCTGTTCCAGAGGTTTTAAGACGGTAAAGATGAAGATCAAAGAGGAAGGAAGTATAAAGTAGATAACTCTCGGATCAGAATACTTCCCGTATGATGATCCCAAACCACTACGATCAACGAAGTTGAATCAGCTAGTGAGAGAGTTCAGGAAAAATGGACTGCAGTAAACCACTAACTACGATGCGAATCCACACCGTCTGATCTGAAGTAATAGAAACAACGATAAAAGAAGTGAGTCATTACTATAGTTTATTATGGACCATTTTTTATATAACATAACATGAACATATTTTAACATCATAGAAAAAGGGGGTAATTGATATGACACTAGTCACGACTCATGCGGCTAGAATTGTTAAAAATGGCATGAGTCAAATGAGGTGTCTTGTTTAGACCATCAACACATGTGTTTTGAAATAACAGGTAATGAGTCTTTTAAGGGAACTTATCGTAACCCTCGTAAAACAAATTGGGAGGTATATCAAGCAGATGAGAAACTAAGAAGGACAAAAAGATAATCCTGGAGAAGGCATTGTGAGGAGATAGAACAGGCTACACAAATGTCAAGGCTCCGTTAAGTTCTCTCAAACGACCCTCAGATTAGTATTCCCTGGCTTCAAAAGGAGTCAAGTGAATATACTCATAATGGTGAAAATATCCTGGAAGAACTTTTTAAGGTGTACTTTCCAGAGTCTAAAACAAACCTGATAATACTAGACATATTGCAGCAGATTGAACCAAATACAATGACTTGTGGTTCTAGGGAAAACTTGCGTGTTGTAAAAGAAGTGGTGAACAAGGACAAAATCAAATAAGCCATATAAATTACTTTGTCTTGACGGGATTTACCCAATACTTCTACAGAAGGAAAATAACCTTTTGTACAAAAAAATACATATGATACTGCAGATTAGCTTAGGACTAGAGTACTTACCAAACACATAGAGGCTAATAAGGGTGGCTTTTATATTCAAACCCGGTAAAGCCAATCGGACAAAACTGTCTCTAAGACCGATAACTCTGATATTAGTTGTACTGAAGTCTAGAAAAACTGCTCAATAAGCATGCTAGGAATAAATTATTGTTTACAAGACCCATACATCAGAATCAGTATGCGTATCGAGCAGGACTCTCTGCAAAAACAGTATTGTACTATCTCGTACAGAGAGTGGAGTGCTTTCTGAAAAATCAAGGGGTAATATTGGGTGAATTTCTCGATATAGAGGGAGCATTTGACAACACCTCCTACGAAGCAATTGCAAGGGCAAGTCATCTAAAAGAAATAGACGAAGAAATAAGCTGCAGATAGAGAGCAGAAACTCGTGCAGAAGAGCCATGTGATGCACGCAACGTTACTAGGGGATACAGTATTAGTCAGTGGCGGACTAAGGCCTAGTCAACCTAGACACTCGCCTAGGGTCCGTAATTTTTGGGGCCCGAAAATATAAATAAGGTTTTTGATTTTTTAATTTTTATAATTATTTTTGATTTTATTTAATAGAAAGACGTAGTATTCATCATTATTGCTAAAATGTGTCAAATTATACAGAATTGTTGATTGACAAAGTCGACAAGGTTGTACAGCCGTTCCCGTGCTTATCATGAATCGAAAAATGTACATAAAAATTTTTTAGAGAATAAAAACTCCAATGACCACATTAACTACATCACTAACTGTCGGGGACAGCGTTATGATAATGCGGTAAATATGTCGGGTAAATATAAGAATGCAATACAGAATAAAATTCATATATTTTCTTCCCATTTCATACCATGTGCCAATCACTCTTAAATGTACTTGGAAACGCTATCTTTCAAGAATTGTACCTATTTTTTTTTTAAGTTCTACACATAGCGTGCATTACAAAGCGCAATGCATTACAAAAAATTTGTAATGGCAAACACTTAACTATTAAATTGTGACACCAGGTGGTCTGCTCGTTCCGGTGCTGTAAAACCTTTAAAGAAAAATTATATAGAAATTAAACATTGTTTACGTCATTTTTCCTTAAACAAAGATAAAAAAAACATTAAAAATGTCCCAGGCAGCCAAATCACATAAAAAACTTGATACATTTGAGTATGTACTGTTACTATATGGGAAATATATTCCCAATATGAGAAAAGATTTTAGAGAAATGCTTCAAACAAGACTTCAACAAAAAGACGAATACCTAAATACAGCAGTATTAATATAAGATTAATTGAGTAAGAGTCGTTCAAAAGAAACAGAAAAAGTTAAAGATACTAATGTAACAATAAAACACTGAAAACTTTGTTTTCAAACTTCCACAAAATTTACTTTAACCTCTTATCACTACAGCTGTTTCGGCTGATTGCCTTTCTCAGGTGATCTATTTTTGGTATGCGTTTACACTTTATAGTCTCTAATGAAATAGGTTGAGGAGGGAAGAACTGTTTTGTCTCAAGTTGGTCATTCAGAATTATATCTGTGTTTTTTAATTTGTTGATTTCCATAGATTCTAACAAGGATAGCTTAAGGCCTTTATTTCTAATGTGAAGAATTTTAAATTCGTAAAATTGATGTATTTAGACGATCACTTCGAATATCTAGGGCAGACAGAATTAGAAACGATGAAATAGGGAATCGGATGGGGGTAGATGGATCACTGGCAACAGACATAGAAAGGAAACAACTTATATGGTATGGCCATGTTCAAAGAATGCCAGAAACAAGACTACCAAAAATCGCCATGAATTGGATACCACCAAATCGTAAGAAACGAGGAAGACCAAAAAGAACTACCAAACGCGAAGTATGTGTCATGACTGAAAAATAGTCCCAAAATTCCAATGTTGCTTAGAGACCGCTTTAGCCTTAGTCAGCCACTGGATTAGCACGAGTAGCCAGAGGCTGTCCGAAGGAGGAAGTTTTATGTCATATGTGGAATCTGCTCATGGATGGGCTGATAGCTACACTAACGATAGGCATCATGTCCTGGCTTATGCGGATCACCTTGTCTTCTTAGCCCGCGGCAAATTTTATGGCATAGTTAGATATAATGCAATAGTTTCCGAAATGTACTTCAAATGTAGGGCTTAATATAGTTCTCCAGAAGTTCCAGAAATCAAATTTAACAAAAAGAGGAATTTAAAGGAAATGGCTCTGCTTCGTCTAAATTATACACATCTTAATTTGGTGACTGGAGAAAAGTATCTTGGGTAATATTGGACTCAAGGCTTACTTGAATTTAGCAGATACAACGAATAGCTAAGAGTGAGAGTGGTAAATTTACCAAATATATTATATTGAATTTAAAACGTGGTGGTAAAATCAACAATTACATTATGCCATTCTCAAACGAAGCAAGGTGCAGACCTGGCAGCTATGGAGCCCCTATTCCACCGCTCTTCTTAACATTTTTTTATAAG